TATCTAGTTTGTTTTTGTTTTTAAATTTAGGACTGTTTTCACAACAGTAGTCATTCAAGCTTTTGCGTAGTGTGACTTTGCAAATTGTCTGCTTCTTTCTCTTCCTCATCTGTTGACACACTCAACACCTAGGTTTACATTATTTATTTCCTGATTGCAGCAATCAGCTTTGATCCATCCCCTTCAAAACTCTGATCCTAGTGTGAGATCACATGACTGTGGTGAAATTTGAATGGCATTTCATTGTAAATTCTAGATTACTGCTAGTATATATTCTTGAAAAAAGGAACTGCATTTCCTAAGTGTCTTTCTGGGTATTCAGCAAATTACATGAGTTCCACAGAAAAGTCTAGTGAGGTGTGTACCATTGCACACCTGAGGAGAGTCTGGAGATGAGAGAACACAGACCACTCTGCACCTATCCTCTGAGGTAAAAACAGATCACAACTTCACTTTTATTTATTTGCTTGTTTATTATTGCCTCTAAAAGTCTCAGAATGATGTAAGAGCTGTGAGTGGATATTCCTTTATGTTGTCTTGCTGATGAAATTGATATTTTTATTTTGTAAATAAGATTATATGCTGATATTTTTGATGGAACTGTTTAGTTCCCCCTCCTGCCTTTCAGCAAACATTACATTGCTTATGAATGGTATTATGAATACTATTCTGTATTATTTTTAGACTGATAAGATGAATAATGTGAACTTTTTCAAGCAGATCAAGATGGAAAAGAATTAAAATTGCAAGAGTCCTCCTCTAGAAATTGATTTCAAGAAGAAGGAAAAGTTAAGTTTTGCACCAGTTTTTCTCTTGCTGCAAATACATTCATGTAATTCTTGGATTCAGAGGTCATTGCTCAAGGACTGTAGGTTATAAGTGAGAAAAGAAGTCTGTTGTTGCAAGTAAATCAAACAAGAAAACTTGCCAAAGATAATTTGTTGCTGATTATGGATAGGGCATTGTCAAGGGTACTGGTTGTGCTAAGAGCAGATGTGCTAAGACCAATATATTATTAGTTCCCAGTGTTTCATAAATTTACTTATTTTGCATTAATTCAACAGAATTTTTAGTCCTGTTGACTAAAGGTTCTAAGGCAGGGGTCGCCAACCTTTTGGACCTCAGAGAACACCAAACTCATAATTTTAGATCCCAGGGACCATTAACCGATTCTGTGGATGTGGCCTAATTTGTGGGTGTGGCTTGGTGGTCATGTGACTGGCTGGGAATGGCTTGTATGTAAATATTATAAATATTTATATAAATATTGAATTGTTTATTAAAAAAGAGCAACTTTTACCCAAAATCAGGCAAAGCAGGCAGATTGAGTTGCTCACAGAATCACAGATTCATTCAGAGATCTATCTATCTATCTATCTATCTATCTATCTATCTATCTATCTATCTATCTATCTATCTATCT